AAATAGATCATAACTAAATTTATGCTATTTTTAAGCTAAAATTGTTACACGAACTCTACAGCTTAAGGGATAATAATCTTTATCTGTTATATGATATTTAGGAATTTCAAGTAAATTATTGTAAAGTTCTACTTCCTTTTTAACTAATAATATATTTTCAGTTTTATTTGGAACAACATAATCATCATTTTAAAAAAAAAAAAAAAAAAAGTAAGATTAGTATTTGAAAATTGGAGTTCTTGAATAAAACTTGGTTGTTCTTGTATATTGAATAAAGTATAAAGGTGAGCTATAGTTTTTTTCTTTTTACTAGGTGTTATATAATTTATTTTTTGAATCTTGGATCTAAAAAGGCAGCTATTAGACTATAAAATGATGGTTTAAGCCACCTTGAAAGTATCGATTAGTTGATTTTACTGCAACAAGTTTTTACTATTTGTAAAGTAACTCTGGGGTAAAAATCTCTTAAATGGCGAGAGAGCTTAATAAGAGTAGGAATTATCATTCCTAACATAGAATACTGGTTTCCTCCAATATATTTTGTCATTTGTACAAAAGAATATAAAAATTTTGCTAATTCATCTATTAAATTCTATTTTTCTATTGATAGAAGTAACTCAAAAAATTTTGTTACATCTTGCTATTCTTGGCGATTAACACTTTGTTTTAAGTTATTTGGCTAATTTTATAATAGTATTACGAAGAAAAAAAAAATTCTTTAAAAGATTATAGATTGAACTCTACTGAGTTCTTGTATCACTTGAAAGAGAATTAACTTGGTGCTGTGAATTTAATTTAACTTGCAACTAATAGAGTCTTTCATGGTATTTATCTTTACTATTAATATAGCTATTTGATACTTTTGCTTTATTAATTAAATTAGTAACTTCTTCAATATTAAATCCATCTCTAATGCAAGTTGTATTGTATGTACAGTGCATCCTAGGTGAGAATTAAAATAATTATTTGTTTAATTTATGTAATTGTATTTTAAGTATTAATATTTGACTATTTTATATTATATTATATTAATTCGATTTGGTGTTTTTGCTACTAGGAATAAGTTTGACTATAAACAGCTATGATTATTCATAGCTAATTTGCTAAATACTGAGATGGTTTTTTGTTGAGCTTTTAATTAAAGTTGTTTAGAATTAAATTTTATTTATCTCATCTTATAAATAGAAAGAGCAATATCTTTTCTGAAACTAAGAATTTTGATTTGTTAATGTCATAGCTACATTACCAGAGAGGTATCATATTATTCTTTCCACTTATAAGATAGAATAAACAGAATTTAATTCTGAACAACTTTAATTAAAAGCTCAAGAACAAAAAAATTATCTCAGTATTTAGCAAATTGGCTATAAATAATTGTAGACATTCATAGTCGAACTCATTTCAACTTGCTACTACAGTTGTTCTCCTATACAATCACAGTTAGGCACATAGTAACTTTTTTTAAAAATATGCTTATAAAGAGGTTGTGCTTATATGGAGGTTTTTTTCTTATAAATTAAATTATAGTTTGGCCTAAATAAAAATGTAATTATATAGAAGATAACTATATGGAGAGATGACTATAGTACTTTGCAAAATCAAATCAAATTTTGAATTTGAATCAAATATTTGGTTCAAATTCAAATTTTGATTTGATTTTGCAAAGTACAACTTGCTATTGTATTTGGGTTTGAAAATTTAAAATATTAGATATTTATGATTTATATAAAAAATATAGAACTCTTTTACACACTTTTATTATAGAAATTAACTAGCCAAAAATTTAAAATTTTTATATTAAAATATTTAAATTTTTATTTTAAATTATTTCCAAATTTAGCTAACAATTAAAATTGTAATTTAGCCTTACCTATATGCTCAACAGCAATTTGATCCATGGATTTAATTATTGAAGCAGCATTATTTGTTAAAACGCCTAAAAGCTTTTTATATATCTCCTATTAGTTAAAAAGTTGGTAACAAAAATCTTCAATCCAATCAGCAGTATAAGAGTAATTAAACTTTTGAATTGTAAAAAGTATTTGGTATAAAGTAAAGTTGGGGCTAATTCAATGAATTGTTATAGCTATATAAGGTTGGTGCATTTGAGACTACAAGTCTGTTGTAAAGCAAAAAGAATCTATCGTTATTTGCAATAATTCTTTAAGCTGTCATTTGGCAAAAAGTACTGATTGTATTAATTTTTCTTTAATTTTATTATAGCAAGAAAACTCAAATCTCAGTTTATATTCAAGAATCATATTATGAAAACAGTTATTAGTAATAGCATTAAATGATTAAAAATTATCTATAATCCAAGCTAAGATATGATTTGTAATTTTATCTTGCTTTAAAATAGATAAAGGTGTTTTTTTATTTATAAAATCATATAATGATAGTTGATTAGAAACTGTTTTGGCTAATTGATTGTTATTATCTTCTTCAGGAGGCAAAATCTTATCAAGTTGACGAAGGTGAGACTTTAAATTGCCCATTCTAATTGTTAATCATATTTATAGCCACAGGCTTTTTTTATACCATCCTCATCCATGATTTCAACTTTGCAATATATTTTTTTTGCAACTTTGTTCTGCTTAAAATAATGCTACACACAATTTGGTTTCTTGATTTTGGTCTTTTGGAATGGGTAACTCTTTTTTTTTGAATTCTTTTACCCAAACTATTAGTAATAGTAACACCACTATTATGTAATAAAGTTTGATCAAAAAAAGATTTGCTGTCTAGATTATATATATTTTTTAATACATTTGATTCATTTAATTTGGTTGATTTATTTAATTTGTTTAATTCATCTTTACTAGACAAAGCTATAGTATTGCTATTATAAAAACTAGACTAATGAAAATTGTGTATTGATATTTATTTACTTTTATTTGAGCAGTAAGACATTAATTTTTATAACATGTTCTTTATTTATATTTTAATCCTTATTTAATTCATATTTTTTAATACAAATAATAAAAATAAAATGCAAAGTAAAAATGTAGTAGAATCATCCCAATGATAGTTATCACACTGCTATAACTTGCTATAACTATAGCAAGTAATATAGTAAGTTATGGTATTATAACCATAACTTACTTTATTACTTGCCATAATTATGGCAAGTTATAGCAGTATGCTGACTATCATTAGGACGATTCTACCATATCTCTAATGCAAAGATAAAATTTTAATATTTGAATTATGTATACAATTGTTATTCTTTTAGATAATCTTTTTTTTTATTAAAAGAATAACTATTGTATACATAATTCTAATTTTGGGTTTATTCTGCTAAATGAAGAGAAGTTAGTCCAATAATAAAGTCAAACTTGTGAACAATAGCATGTATATATTTTCAATATATTCATCTATTTTATTATCATTTACAAGTTTGTACTGTCTTTAGCATTATAATATGCCTAAATTATTTCTAAAAAAAAGTATTTTCAGTAAGCATTTTTGGGATTTTTCAAAATAACTATTATATAATATATTTTGATGAAATTTTATTAATAAATTCGGCACAAATAGGTAAAAAATTACTATATAGTTTGGGTTTGGAGATTTATATCTAATTTGGATTTATAACCAAAACTCAAACATATGTTTCATTTTGTTTAATAATGTTAGTCTAAATCAAATTTGTTAAATTTGATAACGAATATGCATAAATTTTTAATGTAATATTGTGATTATTAAAATTCTATTTTGGCTAATCTGTTCAGAGACTATTTATAAACAGCATATAAAAACTAATAAGTAACTAGTAAGTAATTCATAAGTAATTTATAAGCAATTCACAAGCGATTTTTATAATCACTAACAAATAATCACTTTTAATTTTAGATATTATAATATATTATATATTATTCATACAAATTCTATTTAATTTCATCATTTAATTAACTAATTACAAAAATTAAAAATTTTCATCTATATGAATTATGAAAGATTATTTTTGCCTAACTAATTTTTATTAATATAAGCAATTTATACTGCTTTTAATCAATATAATTGAATGTTAAGTAAAAACCAGAAATTTTAAATATAGATTTATTGATTGTTTAATAATCTATATATAGACTTTTTGGCAATTTTCAATTATAAATAAATTAGTGATAGTATTTTAATTATTAATTAGGAATCATCAACAATTATTATGTTTAGAACATTTTTGATAGTATAAGCAATGATTTTTATTATAAATTTTAATATTTGTATTTTTATAAAATTATCAAATGTACTATTACTTTAATTAAAACTATTTAGCAATTTAAAAATTATAGTTGATTACTGATTATATCTTTTTATCAATGTATTTTTTTTTTTTTTTTTTTTTTTTTTTTTTTAAT